GCCGCCGCCGCCGCCGCCGCCGCCGCCGGGACTGCAGCACGCCCTCCTCCCTCGAGGCTGCGCCGGGTATTTGCAAACCGAGTCTGTGCTGCCCCCTGCCGGCCCGAGCGCCCCCTGCTGCTGTAGGTGTGCTCACGTGTGTACACGTAGGTGAGCACACACGTGTTTCCGGCGCCCCGAGCCCTGAAGACGCCCGAGAGTCTCCCCTTGCCTCGTTTGTAAACCCGAGCTGCATGCCTTCAGGGGAGCCATGCCCGAGAGGCCGGAGAGAAAAACACAGGAAGCGAAGGCCCTGGCAGGCCCTCAGTTTCCCTTCTGGAAAAGGATGGGGGTGGACTAGGTAATCTACCAGGTCCCCACTACCTAAGTTCTGTCCGTTTGAGAGCTCGGAGCTGAAAGGGCCCTTTCTGCCACTCCAGTCCGAGGGACACATTCCAGATAAGGAAAGTGAAGCCAGGCAAGGAGAGGTGGACTTTTCCAGTGGACTACGCAGAAAAACACCTTTCCTCGAGGAACTCGCGTCCCGTATGGAGGAAGCGTGCATGCGTGTGTGCATATGTGCTCAGTCCTGCCCTCTTTGCCATCCACAGAGGCCTGCGTAAATAGCCACAACTTCTAAGAGTAGAAAAGGCTGAAGAAGTTACTGAGAAGCAGAGTGGAACTGAGGCGTGAGGAGGTAGTCTACGAGGATACACAGAGAATATTGGAGGCAGAGGAAATGTTTATAAACAATGCCCCGCAGGTATACAGGTTCAAGGAGTGGTTCAAGGAGAAGTGGGTTGTCCAGTGTGGTTTAAAGAAGGTCAGGCCTCCGGAGAACAACAGTACTTTTCTTCTGTGTGTGCCTGACACTGTGCTAAGCGCTTCTCATTCATCATCTCACTAAATCCTCAGGACAGCCTGGTTCCATACATGGTTTTATCTCCATTGTACGGAGGAGGAAATTGAAGCTTAGAGAGCTTAAGAGACTTGCTCCAGATTTCATTTCAAATAGGGGCTCGTTTGCTGGGATTTAAAACTGTTGCTCCTAACCACTGCCAGGCTGAGGCATGTGGCATGATTGGCAAGCAGTGATGGTTTCTGAGAGACCTGGATGGAGGCAGTGGCCACAGCAAAGGGGAAAGAGAACGAGAAGGATGAGTTCAGGAGGTATTCCAAACTTGACATTTACTGAGGATCAGGCACTGTCTTAGGTGATTTCATGGATGGTATTTTCATTACCCTCATTCCAAAATCCCCATTGACTTCGGTGGAGTTTGGGGCTTAAAGAAGCAGTATCCTTGCCTGAGGTCTCAGAACTGAATGGCAGCAGCCAGTGCCCTCCCCTGTTGCCTGATATTTCTCTTATGACTCTACAGGGATCTACCTGGTGACATTGTATTCTGAGGGGGCACCTGCTATCAGCCTTCCAATACCCACTCTGCACCTCTCCCCCAAGACTTAATAGAATACCGTCAGCAAACTGGTGTTCAAAGGGGACCCAGTCTGCTTACGGTTTATAAGGGTAGCCCATTTCCGATTCTATATCCCAGAAGTGCTCTGAATAATGGCCCTCCGAAGATATTCACATCTCAGTTCCCAGAACCTGTTCCTGAATATGTTCCTGTCCTTGGCATTAGGGACTTCACAGATATTCCTTATAAATTAAGGAATTTGTGGTGGGGAGGTTATCCTGGGTTATCTGGGTAGGACCAATATAATTCACAAAGGTCCTTGTAAAAAGGAGACAGGAGAGTCAGAGATGAAGAAAGTGATGTGACAGTGGGAGCAGAAGTCAGAGCAATGCATCCAGGAGTCAGGGAGGCTGGAAGCTGGAAGAGGCATGGAACAGATTATCCCATATATTTTAGAAGGAACATAGCCTTGGTTTTGAATGCAGCCTGTAAAATCTGACTCTGACTTCTGACCTCCAAAACTGTAAGATAATGCATTTGTGTTTTAAACCGCTAAGGTGGTGGTGATTTATTCCAGCCGTGATAAGGAGACTCATACAAGTTTAGTGTTAAATCATGTTAGTTTGGTGCACTGCATTTTTCCAAACCTCTTGGCACTGTCACAGTGCTGCCCCTTTTAAGGTAATTGTCATTCAGTTTGTAAGTATCCTCTGTCCTTCTCTCCCACTAAATGCTGAGCTCCATGAAGACAGGAGTTTTTCTTATACATTACTGTATCCCCACCCAGCACCTAGCCTGCTTCCTGACAAATAGTCAGCATTCAATACATGCTTGTTGAAGGAATGCAGGATCAGATTTCATTGTCATAATAGCCCGTGGGGTAGGTATTGCTTTTGCCTTTTAGAGATGGAGAAAATGAAGGTTGGAGTAGAGTCCAGACTCACACTTGCCTCTCCTGATTCCAGCTCCCAAGTGCTACGGACAATACCATGCCATTGAGAATCCCATGGGGACTCTAGATTGCATTCATTTTACCTGTACCTCCTCTGTCCTGGGCACTGTCACCTCACTGATTGAATTGATCTCATTCAGTCCTCATCACAATAGTGATTTTTAAAAAAATATTTATTTACTTGTTTGGCTGTGCTGAGTCTTAGTTGTAGCACTCAGGAACTCTAGTTGTGGCACATGGGATCTAGTTCCCTAACCAGAGATTGAACTTGGGCCCCCTCTATTGGGAGTGCAGAGTCTTAGCTACTGGACCACCAGGGAAGTCCCCACAATAGTGATTTAAGCACCATTTTCTCCACCACACAGAGGAGAAACAGTCTCAGGACTTTCTTTGATTAAATTTCATGTTAGTCAAGTTTCCTCCCCCGAATTTCCACATTTGAATAGTAAGGACAAAATGAATAGTAAGGACAAAATGTGAACATGTGCTATGTATTTCAGTGACTGCTCTTTCTTCATCTTGGCATTTTAGACCATAAAAATTCCTACCCCTCTCATCCAAACTCTGTACCAGCCCTTCAGAAATTTTAATTGCCATTTCTCTGACCTTCTCTGAGAAAGCCTACAATACTTTGGCCACCTGATGTGAAGAACTGACTCATTTGAAAAGACCCTGATGCTGGGAAAGATTGAAGGTAGGAGGAGAAGGGGACAACAGAGGATGAGATGGTAGGATGGCATCACCGACTCAATGGACATGAGTTTGAGTAAGCTCCAGGAGTTGGTGATGGACAGGGAGGCCTGGCGTGCTGCAGTCCATGGGGTCGCAAAGAGTTGGACACGACTGAGCGACTGAACTGAACTGAAGACCTTCTCTATGCTCAATGAAAATGGACCGGAAATGCACATGTTTCTGGTTAGCCAACACATCGCTCTTTTGTGGGCCTTTTGGCCCTCAAACGATCAGCTAGTATTTTATCTGTGTTCCTGTCTAGAACCATCTTGTGCTGAAGTTCTCAAGAAAGAGTTTACATTTAAATTCCAGGTCCTTTCCTTGGCCACAAGCAGTAGCTTGAGTTCCTGAATGTCATGGGCACTTTGGAAGCTGACCCGTAGAGTCACTTTTTGCGTTCGCCTCGTTAAAGATCAGCCACCAGTTTTTTAAATTTTATTTTTATTGAGGGGACATTGATTTATAACCTAATATAAGTTTCATGCATACAACACTGTGTTTCTTTTTTAATTATTTTATTTATGGCTACACTGCGTGGCACCTGGGATCTTACTTCCCTGACCAAGGATCAAACCTGTGCCCCCTGCTGTGGAAGCACAGAGTCTTAACCACTGGACAGCCAGGGGAGTCTTTCAGCCTCCACTTCTTTGTCCACCTCCTCAGGCTCGTGAGAACTTCCGAGCTTCCGTCCCATCCCTACTCCCAGAGTTTTGTGTCATTGGCAAGCCTTGGAGAGTTCCTTACATGGACCCTTCCTCCATAGTAGTTTTACATGTTAATTAAACAGCCCTTAGCCCTGTCTCTAAGGAAGGAACTCCTCTCAGAAATGTGCCATTTATCCCTAGCCTTTGTTTCCTGGCTCATTTCCTAGACTCAGTAAAATTATGCCCTCATTCCCTCAGACTATTTTTCTTTTCCCATAGAACAAGATTACACTTGAGTGTATGCTCCTATTTATTCCCTTGTAATTTTTTTTTTCGTAAACATTTACTGAGACATTACTACATCTCACAAAGCCCTCCCCACTCTTCCAAGTGTGTGTAAATGTTGGCTTAGTCTTTCTGCCATGATTTCACAATAATAGCTATCATTAATTAAAGACTGTGCTGTGGGCAGCTGTGGTTTCTGCCAGCCTTGCATTCTTTTTCTTTCTTTGGGGACAACAACACAAAGAGAAGCATAGCCAAGGCACATAGTTTTCTGGTGAAAGTTCAGTTTTAGACTACCTGGATCCAGCCATGCCTGAAGCTAGTCCTTGGAATTTACAGTTTAAGAAGTGAATCAAAACAGAATGAAGATTTTTCCAGGTCCCAGGTTCTGAAGCTTCATTTGTTCTCTTTCCTGAACGTGAGGCATAAGCATTATTTTCAATAGGCACTCACTTTGTTCATTCTTTAAAGGACTCATCTCCAAGCAAATAATCAGCAAAGCAATGCTCATCACTGAATTTACAGATATAAATGAAGAGTTAATAAATCATCTAAACTTTTAGGTTCAGAAGTGGCAGTGATGAAAGGACTTTGGGGTGACTACAACTGAGTCCCAAATTTATATTTTTAGCCAATCTTTTTCCCCTGCTCTAAATCATATTTCTGACTTCCTTCTCAACATCTAATCCTAGATCTGCATTTCAAACATCTATTGCCCAGCCCTGTGTCTAGACTCAAGAGATCAACATTTGGAGAGAAACAGGAGTGGTCCACCTTCCCTGATGCACACCTTAGCGTGTATATCCTATCAGAAGACCTATTTCTTCCCTGAAGGATGCGCATCCCACTCTGGGGAGACCCACATGCCTCTGATGTAATAGCCCCAACATTCAGATGCTAGACATGGCCACAGAGAATGAAAGGGGAGCACTTTTATAGTGCCTGCCGGCCTTGCTGCCTCCCTGTCTTCCATCTCAGATGT